GGTGTTGTTGATCGCATCTGTGATTTACCAACCGAGAAACAAGCATGTGCAATGACGCCACAAGCTTATGACGAAAGTTCTGGAGTCTGCAAAGTCTGGCCGCCAAGTTGAGTTGCATTTTTATAAAAGTTGGTTGAGATATACTTAAAGATGCAGCTTGTCTAACAATGATCAAACGGTAAAAAAGCTATTCTTTGCATTCTAGGTACACTACAGCGGTAGACTTCCTTGGAGCGCTTGTTCCTCCGAATATTCGAGATCAAGTATGGTCGCTAAAACCTCTAAACTGCATAAGGTTTCTTTATAAAATTCAAATAAATAGGTTTCGAAGAAGATTTTCGAAATTCAGCATCGAGCAGAAATGCTACTGTTGCTGTGCTCCATATTTTCCCAATCCTTGCGATGCCCAGTGCACTCTTCGACCATGCAGCCGACGGCAGGCTTTCTCCTCAACTCAGATCAAAATCCTCCGCCGAAAATGGCTAGCGCAACTTCAGGAAGAAGAGACCTGATAACTTTGGACCAATCGTTTCAACATCACCACTATTTATAGGATTACTTGAGATTAGTATTGTATTCATATTTTAGGTCTTTAGCGTATTAGTAACTTTAGCATAAAATTCCAATGTTTGCACACTTACTCCATAGAGATGTACTACTTACTGCCAATGCTTTTATCTATCCGATCGCTGCCAAATTACCGTATTAAAATTGCATCTAACTAAGTAATAAAAATAATCACTTGGTTTGAATATCTATCCATTGTGATCGTCACACCGTAATATAGATCTCCTGAGAAGACATGAATTGGATACACACAATAATTTGTGTAGAGGTGGAGAATCATGCAACGCTTGAAATTGCTTTGGGTTTTTCACGATGGATTGTAAGCAACTGATTCTAAGATTGCCGTTTCTGAAGGCCCAAGAAGTAGGATAGTCAGTAGTACGATCAGCTAACCGACTGGTAATAAAAAATCCTTGACAAATATTTTATTGCCTCCTTCGGAGTTCTACAGCTTGTTCAACGTAATCTCGGCTTGATGAAGAAACTGTTGTCTTATATCAGAAAGGAAGGTGAGCGCATACACATCACGCCTAGCGTCAGCGAGTACATACTGAATCAAGAAGAATGATCAACTCTTTGGCATGTAATCGCCTTTAATTTGGAATGATAATTCTTCCTATCAGAATTAACTACAATTACCGTGAAATTGTTGAAAGACAGAGATTCCGGACTCTTTTTAAACTGACGTGAACGACTTGCACACTCAAACTTCCGACTTTGGGCTCCGAAACGAACGAACGTTTTTCCTTCTAGAGAGCACTGCTTTTGACAGAATCCAAACACGGCAAATGCTGAGGGGAAAAGTCGCTGGTTGGACGGGCTGACCTTAAGGTCCGAAGCATTTTCTTGCTAATCGCGGCGGATCATTTGTCTGAACTTATGGAATAGCTCAGTTAGGAGTTGGCCATCGTTTGATGAGAACTCAAATCCTTAATTTGCCCGTAAACTACCTATGCCTATGCGTAGCATAGCAAGTGATCTAAAGGGTATAAGAGCCAAAATCTGAAGGTAGAGCAGTCCTCAGCGCATCTATACTTCCTACTTGAAACACTACTCAAAAAAGAAAGATGATGAGAAGTTCATACAGATTAAGCGGGGGAAAACGAAGAAGTACCTATTGATCATAATGAAAATCGGCAACCGCTCCATCAGATTCAATGGGTACGAGTGCAACTTAATCAAGCATGAAAATAAACTTCATCAGAGCACGCTCGCTGGACAAATGACAAACTACCAAATTAGTAGTCACCTAAAAATCAGACTAAAAACTTTGTATCTCATTGTAAATATAATTATAACTCTGAATATACACACAAAGCTACCATAGAATCTTTCTGAGTGGTGGTTGCAGTGAGTCGTCCCCCTTCTTTAGATCATGTGCTTAGAAAGAATAGAAAGATAGGTTTCACTGCAATAATTCACAGGGCGATACGCAGCTTTCCCAACTGATGATATGCAGTTTACAATCGGTTCAAGTCAGGTTGCTAGCGTTTCAAATGACATCTAACCTATACGTTCTTCTAAAGTTTCGGTCCAGCAGCCAGACGCTTCCCTCGCGGAATGATGAAAGTGGTTAACGAACACAAATTACAGTCGCAATTCTATGTTTATTTCATTAGAATTGATACCTGCCAACACCTTTACAACGCTGGAAATTTGTTTTGAAAGGAAACAGAGATAACATGACATGACTGTGAAAGCCTGTAAGAATAGCAAGTGTTCAGCAAAGGAAGGTCACCGTGATAGAAGAGAAAAAATCTAAGCGCTGATGAATTACAAGCATATCACAATGTGAAGTGTATGGCTAAAACCAAAACATAGCAAAAGCGAAAACTTTTGAATTCCTGGAAAGATATTACACTATGCCAGGGCAACCCGCTAACTTCTCAAATTTTCAATAAAAGGACAAAATCTGCATAAATATAAGATGAGAATAAACTATTTGATTGGACGCAATCTCAAATCAATCATTTCATTCTCTTTTTGGATATGACGAGGTTGAGGAGGAGCTCGAACCGATGTGTAACGTTTCTCGTAAGTTTCAGGCTCTGTGCGGCGATTTACATTGGGGTTGCCTAAACCTTATTCCATATAAAGAAATCTGCCTCATGAAATTAAATATAAACCTATATAGATGGTTTCATTCCAAACTTAGAATCACTAACTGCTAACCTACTCCATTGATTGAGCTAGCGGTCAGAGTTTTACTGATTTCCATTAGCTTCGAACAAAGTGCTGGCACTGAGATACCTTCTCCTCGTAATTGTTCAACACACTTTTCTATAATATTAGATTTACAGAGGATTGTGAAAAAACCAAAGAAAAAAAAA